TGATGGATTTAGTGCTGGCTTTTATCAGAGATGTTGGGAGATCATTAAAAAGGATCTTCTACAAGCTGTTCAAGATTTCTTTACGGGCGGGCAGCAACCCCATGGTTTCACAAGCTCCCTCATTGTCCTCATCCCAAAGGTGCAAGGGGCTTCTCAGTGACGGGAGTTTCCGCCTATTAGCCTATGCAATGTCAGCTCCAAGAGTATCTCAAAAATTTTGGCGGTGAGGTTGAATAGGGTGTTGCCTAAAATTATTTCTACATGGCAGATAGGGTTCATCCCTGGTAGAGGTATTATAGACAATATTAGTTGGTTCACGAGTTAGCATGGGATTTGGATAGGCAATTGTCGGACCCTAATTTGATGCTTAAGTTGGATATGAAAAAAGCCTATGATCGAGTCAAATGGCCATTCTTGCTTTTTATGTTACACAAGTTTGGATTTCAAGATAGGGCTATCGATTTGTTTTCGATCCCTATGCAATAGTTGGTTCTCAGTTCTAGTCAATGACGAGCCAGCTGGTTTTTTTAAGTCATCGAGGGAGGTCCGCCAGGGAGATCCACTCTCTTCAGCATTGTTTGTGATTGTGGCAAAATTCTTGAGAAGGGGTCTATTTCAGTTGTTCTAGGAAAATGAGAGGAGATTTTACGCATCGCCAGGGTGTCTAGTACCTTACTTGACATTTGCAGATGACATTCTTATTTTCACCAAGTGCTCCGAGAGTTGCCTAGGGCCAATTCAAGGCTTTCTAGAGTCGTATCAAGCTTATTCTGGCCAAAAGGTCAATTCATCTAAGAGCTCATTTATTATTTCTAATAGGGTCACTGTTGAGCAAGTTGATATGATTACCTCCATCCTTGGTTTCTCTCGACAGCATTTTCGCTTCAATTATTTGGGAGCTCCTATTACGTGAGGTAGAGACCATTGTCGTCTTTTTGATGGAATTTTAGATAAGATTCGGCATAGACTTCAGCATTGGAGTTCTTGCATGTTGTGAACCGGTGGAAAAATTATTCTTCTTCGTTATGTTCTTGCTTCTATCCCTATGTATCTTCTATAGGTCCTCCAACCACCTCAAGTGGTGCTCACTAAACTTGGTAGGATTTGCAATAGCTTTTTATGGGATCACAACACGGAATCGTCAAGAGTCCATTGGGCTTCATGGGAGAAGCTTTGTTTTCCTGTGGAAGAAAGGAGCTTGGGGTTTCATAGCTTTGCGGATGTTTCCAAAGCATTTGCGTATTAGCTTTGGCGGCAACTTCATCTTGGAGATTTCAATTGGTCACAATTTATGCATGCCAAATGTGTTAAAGGCTATCACCCCTCTAAAGTGCATGTATCTCGGCTCACACCAGTTTGACGATGGTTGGAGGAAGTATGAGGATTTACGGAGTCAAAAATTAGGTGGTGTTTAGGGAGAGGGTTTGTTGATTTTTGGTTTGACTGTTGGTACTTTGATCAACCATTGTCGGTGGTGATGGGGGTACCTAATCTGCCACACATGTTGCCGGTGGAATTTTATGAGGATATTGGATGGAGTGTTGACAAGCTACAACAGTGGGTCCCAGAGTCTATAGTGCAACAAATCTTGCAAATTCAGCTTCCTTGAGTTGGATGATGTCATGGTGTGGATACCATCTTCCTCTGATTCTTTCACTGTCTCATCAGCTTGGAAGTGTCTTCGACCAAGGAGGAACAAGTCAATGGTTGATCGTATTATTTGGGACAAGGTGTTACCTTTCAAGATCTCTTTTTTGAATGGAGGATGTTACATGGTTTTCTCCCATTGGATGACAATTTAAAGAGAAGGGGCATTGTCCTCTCTTCGCAATGTATGTGTTGTGAGAAGAATGAAGAATTATTGAATCATTTATTTCTCTATGGCCCGGTAGCTACTCAGGTTTGGAGGCATTTTGTTGGGCAATTTAGTTTCCTAAATTTGGATCTCTTGCAGTCTACTGTCTCTGCAATGTTCACGTCTTGGGTTTTGTTTTCACTGTGATAGCCCCACCTCTCCTCAGGACAAACCCAAAGGATTAGCAAACTGCTTGTCCAGCTCGCGTCGGCACTCAGTCTACTAATGAACTAGCAACCCAAGAAAACTAATGAAATATCTTTGAAGTAAAGGGTACAAGCCATAATGAAAATATAATCGTCACGCCACCTTCCCAAACTTAGAATATAGAACTAAAAGTTAAACTTATAACTCCAAACTTAATTTACATAGTATGCGGCAAACTTACAAATTCAAGCTTATAAGAGTCAAAGGTAGAATCTTCTAAATAAAAGATTACAATCCAAAGTAGAAGTTTAAGATAAGAATTGAGGCTATGAAAGTTCTTGACCACAATTCCATCCCAAATCTGTTAAGAAAAATAAAAAGAGTGGGGTGAGCTAAAACTCAGTGAGGTTCCAAATAATCATGTAACCACATAATCAATTAGAGACATAATATAAATGAGTGATCGCAGTACAATACTAGAACAAGTTAATCACAATTCAATTCAAGGATACGGGTGGCTTCCAAAAGCCAAATCCACTTAAGTTTGATCGTATCGAAAATCCGTTGACTCTCCGTCAACGTTTGCATCCAAGGATGTAATGTCCGTAGAATACCACTTACTCCAATTTCCGTCCACCAGTCAATCCCCTTACCAGGCCCAAACACCTCAAACAGTATAATTAGGTAACACTCGAGTATACCAGTTTCCAAATTTCAGTAAACAGTCCTCAGGGTTCATCTGCCTTCTCGACCAAGTCCTTGCTGGTTCGATACAACCGACTCACCTATGAGGTTGGGCATCCAAACAGTCACAATAGTTGATGGGATGTTACCCAAACAACTCACATCTTATAGTAGCAGTATACAGAGTCTCAGTGGAATCGAAGGAGGTCGAGTGTGATAAAGTACACGCTCGCCTCAAATTTGTCAAGACAAGGTTTAGATCAACCAGTCACAGATTAAGTATTCAGATATTTCACATAAACAGGTAACAGGCAATAGAACACTCACCTGTCAAGAAATGCAGAGTTCAATCGTCAAGTTCCATGGTTACCCTCACCTGCGTTTCCCAATTCTAGGGCAACGAGTGAAATCGTTAACAATCTAGGTTCATTTTTCAACCCAAATATAAGTTCATTAGGTGACCAAGTGGGTTGTTAATCGACTCAATTTACCATGCAAGTTAGGTCCAAATGTAAGAAAAGGTCATAAGAAAAGGAGTTTGACAAGTGCAAGAAAGTTGAGCAAAAGAAAAGTCTCATTCAAGTTCAAAAGTGTCTTCGCGGGTAAAATAGTCGTGCACGCGCAGTCTCGGGAAAACGGTCATAGCTCACTGTAGAAAAGTCGGAATCACATGACGTTGGTGGCATTGGAAACTAAACTCGAAGGGTTTTCTAATGGTACAAAATGTAAACTTTAGTTCCTCTCCTATCAATACCAGTGGTTCGGGGAAGTTGGCTGATTTTCCTGTTTTGATCAGCTCAATACCCTAACAAAGTTACCCTATTTCTTCTTGCCAACTTCGTTCATTTTGGCTCAAATACATCCAATTCAATCTCCTAGAATTCATATACAGGGGGTCAAGTTATCTAGCACCATTGAAGCTTAAAATGCAACACACAAAATGATTAAATGAACCCAAAACAGTCTAGCCAACAAGGAAGAACCAAAACAGTCCACTAACTTGCCTAAAACAACCACTTTACTTGCTTCATTTTCATTTCAACTCACTCCTAAGCTTAAACCAATGTTTAGCCAAGTTTCTTAGGCTTAATTAAGGTGCAATACGTCACAAAAATCAAGGAGAAACCTCCACTTCAAGGCCAGTCAGCAAAGAGAAAAGAAAATAGTCCACAAGTTCACATTCAACACCAACCCCTATCCTTTCATTATAGTTAACTTAAACAACATTCCAAGAGTTATCCCTAACTTTAAAAGGATCCATAACATGTTAATACATCAAAAAAACCATGAACAAAGCATAGGCAAATATTCAAACACATGGCATGCTAAACATCCAACTCTACTTCCACTTACTTAGCTTAAGAAATTTCACCACAAACAACCTCAACTCAACCTCTAGTTGTCATCAAAACCTCAAACACTTGATATAACACAATAAAGCTAAGATTTAAGGATCATTTACCTTTCTTAAGTGAAGTTTGAATCACCAAAAAGTCCACCAAACAAGAGCTCCAAGCTTGAATTACACACTAGCCTTGAAGGTAGTTTACTCAACTAACTAAAGTTCTTTCTCTTATTGCTCAAAGATCAAGCTAGGGTTTATAAGCAAGAAAATGGAGTTTTTTTTATCTTCTCTTGGAAGCTTAAGATGGCTGGCCAAGGAGGAGAAAATGGAGCCAACAAGGTTTAAATTCTTCTAATTTTCTTGGTCAAATAAGTTGAATGGTTAGGGTCTTGCCACTTGTCTCAATCTTGGCCATTCTTCCTTTAAACTTTGCCAAATAAGGTTGCTACCCTCCAAATGTATCAAATGTCTAATATAACACCCTTAAACTATCACATGAAGTCTCAAACACAATTAAAAGGGTATTTGGTCATAGTGTATATAGTGAAATAAAATAATGCCAATTTAAGGAGATGTTTCAATTCTTGTAAAATGCAATGAAATGCAATGCAAGGAAATGTCATAATTGATTTAGTGTTAGGGTAATGCAAGTGATTTAGGAGAATTTATATTTTTTAAGTGAGAGTTCTCACATTTACCCTTGATTGGATCATCTCACATTAAGTCTTGGTTACCGGTAGTGATTTGCTAGTTTTTGTGAAAAGTACGTAATCAAGCGCATTTTCAAAGGAGTGCCATTTATGTGCAGCATGTGATCTGGCTGATAGACTCATTCCTGCAGCAGCTCATGCGGGCTAACGTATTGGAAGCGTCTCATTTTAGTGGAGACACGAATTATTATTTATTTTCGCAAGTAGTACAAGCCCCCAAAGTGGTTCGGCACAGTATGATTCATGGGTAAGACCTCCGATGGGCTTTTTTGAATTGAATTCAGATGCGAGTTTAGTGGAGTGTATAGCTTTGGGAGGTTGGTTCCTCCATGATCGTAACGGCAAATTGGTCTTAGCATACTTTAAGAAGTTTGGAGATGTGGATGTATTGGTGGTGGAAGGTCTTTCATTGTTGCATGGTCTTCGTCTTTGCAAAGACAAAGGTTATTCTTTGATACATGCCCAGGTGGATTCACAGGCTCTAGTTGCCTTGGTAAAGTCTGCCCATACCTCAAAGTGGCCGCTTTGCAATGTTCTAAGAGAGATTCAATTTCTTCTTGATATCATGAATGCGGAGGTTCAACTTATAGTTAGAGAAGCTAATTTAGCAGCGGACAGGTTGGCTGCTTTACGAGTCGGTTCAGACACCCTTTTTACTTCACCTACCTTTTTGCCAGCTTCTATACGGTTGGTCCTGGCATTAGACTCTAGGTCATTTCCCTATGTTCGCTCTTAGACTGTAAGGGAGTAGTACTCCTAGTTTAACTTAATCAGTCAGTTCTCGAGGTCAGGCTTGGCTGCCCTTCAGCTTTTGTTTGTTTCCTCTCGCTTGAATAAAATCCTGGTTTCATTAAAAAAAAAGCAAATTTGAATTAGGAGTTTTCTAATTTGAGTGCAAAAAATATCAAAATTTTCCATATGCAAATTAGCGGAATTACTGATTTCAAACACCTAAATTATCAAATTGAAATTTGATGCTCACCTCCACCCTTTGGCACTAAAAGAGTAAATTACCAACACATAAATTATCAAATGGCATATGGTCTTTTTGTTGGTTGCACAAATAAAAAAAGTTAAAGTTGGTGTTTGATCATTAACCTTTTAAGGGATAATCAATGTATTTCATGAATAATAGGGATGCTTTGCTACTTGCCCCTAATTACAAGGACCATTTTGTGTGTAAACCTAATAAATACTATTTTAAATTGCTAAGATGGATACTCAAGTGTTGATTCAAATATGTAAATTTCAATTAATCCATCAGTTCATATGGATAAATCATTCAACATATAGTAAACTGATCATTAATTGGATAAATTGAATAGTGAGATTATCTACACGTAAATACAAAATAATCTACAAGTGTAAAATTTGAATGTTTTTGTAACGATAATTCGGTATAAATAGATGAGATTTTAACTCCAACAGACACCATAGGCACTCATCCCTATTACTATCTTTTCATTGAGAAAAAAGATCACATAGCCAATCAACATCTTTCTTACTTTCATTCTAGTACAACTGCCCTTAGAGTTTCTAGAATATTGGTAATCAGTCACTATTGATTTTTCTCTTTTGAGTTTCAAAAAGATTTCCCATATATTTTTTAGTATAATGAAAACCCATGATTTACTTCACTTCATGTATGATAAGTTGTAATGGCAAAAAGTTACACTCATGAGAACATACTAAGGTATCATGGAATTAGAAAATTTTTTGAGCTTGTGAACGAAACTAGGTTAGAGGAACTTTTTGGACATTATCAATCACTTGAATCTTTCATCAATAATCTCTTAAAATATTATTTTAAAGTTGTGTTGATTAAAAATAATTATGTTGTTTGCAATTTATTCCTACAAGTTTCACATAATAATGGAATGTTTTTATTATGATTTTTTCTTTGGGATTATTAAAAATTAAAAATTAAATGAGAATCAAAATTACATACTAAGAGTAGATTTGTTAAAGTATAGTGATTGATTAATATATCATCATAAATTGAAGAATTTTTTTTATAGTGTCTATAAATAGTGACCTAGTTTTGTGTGCTTGATAATGGTCACATAGCTATATGGATCATGGAGATTATACTCTGCAAGGATTTTATCATGACTTGGAGGTCATAAACTTAAGGACTTTTAGTGCTACCAAAGTTAGCAACTTAGCCTAACTCAAACTGATCATAAGAGTGAAAGCAAATGCCCTATCCTACCATGGATTGGCATCAGTAGGGCTCCCACATTGTATTGAGATTTTGAGTTATTTTATGCTTATAATCATGTATTTACTTTGATAATGTATACTAAGTTTGATTTTAGTAGAAAATTAAGATTTCCAAAGTATAAATTTTAAGCTTTTATTTTAGAATTATGTGAGAATTTGACAAGTGGCCAAATCATTCCTTATTTATGAGGGTCAAGTTGGGTCATTACATCAAAATTGGAACTTTTTCACAATTAATACTGTATCTAACATGCTCATAACTGTACTATATATTATGCCTCAATTTACCTCATTTTAACTGATTATTAACATAATTTATCTTGTAGTCATATGTGTATATTTTAGCTTGTAGGTTCTTACTAAAATTTTGAAGTTTTCATCTTAAAATTGTGGAAGTATTGGCACATTTGTTGAGCTACTATTTTTAGACCTAATATTGACTTTATGGAATCTATTAAGATGTTAATATAAGAGATTTTAGTGCTGAAAGAGGTTTAGGGAGTTTGCTTAAAGAAAAAGTTTAGGATGGGACCAACTTACAAGAGTTGAGTAACTTATTTATGTTGTCCTAAATCTAGCAATGGCAATACGCCAAAAATTTTCTCTTCCTAAACCCTAACGACATATTTAAATTCTTTACCAAATCCTATCGGGTAACCCTACAGATTTTAACTTCCATAACCAAACCCTCTTATTCTTAGGTTCGGATTATTCGTCGAGTACCTTTACCCGCTAATTTGAATAATTCAGAAAAAGGTAATTAACTATTATCAAACTAAAATTAATACATACATAATGTTAAATCAACACATTATGTTAAATTTTAAACTTTGGTAGAGTCATACAACCGACATGAGAGGAATTTAGCATTTTATGAAGGGTAAAATGCTTGTGTTATACGTACATATATATATATATGTGTGTGTGTGTGTGTGTGTATGTATATGTATAAATATGTATGTGTATATATGTATGTCAGATTTCAAATTTTTAGGATTCTCTTACCAAACCCTAACGGATTGCCCATTGATCGTCTAATCGGATTAACCATTGAATTGAGTACCCATGGGGATCGGATTTTACCCTACCTATTGCCATCCCTACTTGAATAGGACAACCTAGATAAGGGTGAATTAGTTGATATGTGATTTCAACTAATTTTAGATGTTTCTGTACTTGGTAAAAAAATATCTAGCAAGTTATCGTATTAAAACAGTCTCAAAACTTCAAGTTATACTTTGTAAAAACAAGCACTTACAATATATCAAGTACAATACATATATGTGATTAGACTAAGAAAAATACAATTAATAATAATTTAAATACAAACAAAAATTGAAATAAATAAAATGCAAGTAAAAGTAAGTAAGAGAGGAATAATTTGTAGTGATTCAGCATTAATGGTCTAACATCAACTACCAAAGGAATTTTTCTCCTTTGGATTTTAAAACTGATAACTAGTGTTTTGAAAGCTGGGTTGAATTGGCCAATTTGATTGATTAGATCGTGAATCAATCATGGCTCTGGTTCGGTTCATCTTTGGATTCATTGGACTTAAGAACCAGTGAAAACCATGTGAATCGGAATGAACTATTGAACCGGCGATTTTTTTTATTTTTTTCTATTAAATTGGAAAAAAAGAATAGGTTCTTAATAACTCTAAAGACTAGTCATGAAGTGTCACGCCCACTCACTTTCTTCTCATCTTCCATCTCTTATCAAGTTTTCATCTCTACTTTCTAGTTTCCTGATTTCATTTAGGCTCAAAGTTTTTTTTTTTTAAACAACGTTGCAATCTTTAATTCCCAAAAACATGGTTTAAAGTTTAAATTTACAATGTCTAATTTCTAAAGACATAAATTTTATTTAATTTCAGAATATTTTAGTATTCTTGGGTAGGATTTAAAATTATATTTTGGTAGATACAATTGAGATGAAATTTATTTGTTTGAACTTATAATTTAAAACATTTATTTGTGAAAGTCCAACTTCTTTGAAAATATTAAACTTTTTATCAGATAAAATCTTAAATTAGTCCATTAAATATCTTATTATGTGCATATGTATTTATATAAATTATTTTAAAAAAAAATTCATTGAACTAGGGTTAAACCAATCCAACTGATTGAATCGCAATCTAAATACCTCGTCGGTTCAATTAGCGGTCCGAGTTTCAAAATATTACTAATAACCGGTACATTGATAACATGTTGTTTTGTTTTTATAGTGGCAATAATACAAAACACCATAGTACAAAGCACATTTTCTTTATAGCTGTTCAAGCAAAACTACTTCACCGAGATAGTCTTTCTTTTCAGTTCTAATCTCACTCCACTATGCCTTTGAAATTATAATGGCTCAAACACAACTAGTTTACTTCTTGGATCTTTTTCTTAGATGCTCTAGACAAAGGATTTATAAGAATCACACACACAAAAGCCTAGTCTATTGCAAAGTAAAATTCGATTATGCCCGTCATAGTTGCTCATAAAACAAAGCAATTATAATGGCTCAAACACAACTAGTTCACTTGAAAAGACTTTTTAAGAAAAGACATGGCTAAGATATTTAAAGATTTGAATAGAAGACACAAGAAGGTAAGTGTACATAAACCAAGTCATTCAATCTTTGATGTTCCAATCTGTTTCTTTTCTTTGAGTGAATATCTTCAAAGATACTCCAATTTTTTTAACATCCAAAAGCACTGCAAGTTTGGCTTAAAACACATATAGCTAATTTTTGCAAATGAGGCGGACTACTACCATAACATGTCCACCATTCATCTATTAAAATACGTAAAAAAAATCAGAAAGTAAAACTAGAATCTAATAATCAAAAATGAAATTCTTGTTTGTAATTTGTATACCTGGAAGCATGGCATTACGATATCTTGTTGTAGAAACTCTTCCAAATCATCTTCAACTTTACGAAACAGTTTCATTTCTCTTGTTAAATGACTCAATAAATCAGGATTTCCATAAGAGTATTTCTCAATCACATCCAAAAGTCTTGACGTAGCATGCCTATGCTTCTTCAGTAGAATCATATTGGAAAGCAGGATTCAACCAAAAACCAGTAGCATGGATATTTTTCTGAAGTTGGTTATCCCATCTTAAGTCAATTATCTTCAAATAAGTTTCAACTCTTTTCTTTCTTTTAGCAACTCTTTTCAAAAGCTCTTCTCTTGCCTTATGCATAGCAGCATACAAATACCCCATAGAAGGCCTTTCATCACTATCAACAAGCCTTAAAACCCATACAAGTGGCTCTGTTAATTGGACTATTGTAGCACATTTTTTTTCCAAAACATAGAATCCAATACTAGATCCACAAACTTTTTCCCTTTACTTTCCTTAGCATATGCAGAAATAGTCCATTCTTTTGAAGTGATCATGGCTCTCACAGCATCTTTTGGTAGCAAAATGCTTTGCAAGGCAATGAAATTAGTAGCAAAGTGTGGAGGAGCAAGACGAATTATTTCTCTCCCTCTAGTGTGTTTTCTCATCAAATTCA